CTGATTTTAGTCTGGGCCAATCGAATCGAATTTTCAGCCATAAAGAAGTGGAATTGTTCGAACTGCTGTTTGAGCACATTCGTTATAAGATTCTCAAGCACAATTGCTATCTGAAGAATTTGGATCCATTTGGTAATGCTGGCAAAACACTGATTCTGGAAATCACATAGTGCCTTGTATGATAACTGATCGCCTTTCATCATTACCAAACCTGATGTTTGGCATCCATAGTGCTTTTTGCCCCTCAATGCCTCTAACCTCTACATCCTTCTCTGTTTTCCAATTATATAGTCATCCTTAAGAAAACTGTAATACAGAACTCGTAGTGTTACCAAAGCGAACATTACGCTTCAAATAACCCTAAGCTCCGCAGTCGTTTCAAAAGTTCACATTTTGATATAACAAGCTCAGGCGGATTTAATACGTCTAGAAATCCGCTTACTGATCACTGTAATATTTTGTTTGTCTAGCAACACGAATGACTAGTGGTGTTATACATCCAATCAGTGTGACAAATGTTTCCATTACTTTCTCTGCCTTCATTCTTCATTTATAGCATATTTATGCGGAACTGTTGTCTCCAAATCTATAGTAGGCGAAGAGTGTCCGCACCTAAAAATTAGCGCTGTAATAACTTCTAGCCTTAAATAACAATGAGTTGTTAGAAGAAATTCGTCTTCTCACTATCAGCAAGCGTTAATAATTTGATAGTCGAGAACGATCGCGACGACTCGTGACTGTCAGTTGTCAACAATCGGAGGGGACCAACTTGCTAGGTAGAAGTGTTCGAAACTTTTCTCGCCATTTGCTTAAGGACTCCTCTCACCAATGGTTGAGGAAGAATGATCTTAAACTTTCTAATAATCTTACTGGGTACTATAATAGCGTTCGCAATCTTGGCAAGTACGCGGTTATATCCACCATCCGATCTTCGCAGCGTTCGCAGCAGTCCGCAGCTCTAGTGGTCAGTGGTCAAAGCTGTCCTGCATCGGTGGAGATTGTGGGATACAAGAGATGTTGGGCCGTTTTCGATAAGCACAAA